ATGCTTTCAATGAAATAAGAAAACAAGACAAGGAAAATACAACATTTTGCAGTGGTTAATTAGACACTAATTATATGCTGAGGATGGGAAGAAGAATGGTATTCATTGAAAATGCAGAGTTTTGCAAAGAAAAAAAGGGCTATTGTAGTGTTTTTCTTACCATCTTGCTTGACTACGTTGTCTTTCAACCAATTTATTGCCTTAAAACAGTCCTCCTCATCTTGCAGAGTAAACAGGTTTGAAGGAATTTTGTCTGTGTACCTTTGCTTGGAGCAATCTGGTGCTTCGTGGTTTGTCAATAGCTGGTTTATATCTGCTCCACTGGGACAAGGTATCTAGGAAAAAGGACAATACAAATAATCATTTTTTCCCCCATTCAAATCTTTCTATACAATAAAAAGAACTTTAATGGTCCCCATTTGCTAATCGGCAAGCTATCTGATATATGCACTTTGAAGTTGGGAAAAAAGTGTATGTTAACAGTATCAAAGAAGATAACCCTATAAGGATCTAATTTAGTCGTTTAGCCTGGAGGGCATGTAAAACAGAAAATGACTTACCTTATTCCTTAGATCCTGTAGGCTTCCTCCCTACCGGTTATGGTATTGATGACCAGTCCCACAAAACCTCTCCACTTTTCCAGTGGTGTGTGCACCCCCTTCTGATATAATCCTGTACCATGCTGGACCAGGGGCTGTTGTATGCAATAATGTTGAGGGCCCCCCAACATGCTGGGGCAGGGGCAAAGAAGAGCACCGGTTGCCCCAGGACCAGATTCAGGAACAGGGAAAGTGTTCCTCTCTATTACATTCCTGTAGATTCAAATTGGCAATATATGCTAGGTTCTTAGACAAGAAGGGGTGGGGAGAGCCACAGGTAATTTTTTATAAAGTGTTCTGTAATGTGATACAGTTACATGCATCCAGGAGTTGGATGACATAACTAGATATCAGCATGAGTTGACATGGCAGCCTTTATTGGAGCTTAGGGGCTTCTTAGTTCTGACTTTAATTATATACATTTTGCTATTTTTATGTTAGTTTTTTTTTTTTTTTAAAGCTTGATCTACTTCTTAATGCTTAATCGCCAATACCAGGGATCTCAGATGCAGAAAAAAATCATACCCAATGTCCATTATTTCTGAAATCTGGAAGTTTTGTGTTTTTGCCAGTATCACATGACTGAACAGAATTACAATGTTGAATATAATTACAAATCATTTGGCAGGAAAATAGGTTAAATTATATGTATTTTAACTGGGTATTTAACTCTTTGACTGGAATTCAGCTCTAAAGTATGTTTAGGAGTTCACCCTCGACCAGTGACTTCACTCTGTTAGTACTTTTTCCAGTAGATTTACACAGTTTAGCCACAGAGCATAGCTAGGTGGATGACACCACTTTCTCTGTTACAGTGCACTGCTGACACCCTCTGCCCCAACATACATTAGGATTATTCATTGTTATTTTCTTAAATGGGGTTCCTCTATAAGCACAGTTGCTTATTTTACTGGTTTTCACTAGAAGCTTACTAAATGCTTTAACTTTTTGCTACTTGCCCTGGATTTAAATCATTGTTTTCGCATTTTGCTCCAAATGTAGCTTATTTGTGTATCACTCAGCTGTAGATCCTCAAAAGTAGCCACCGCTCCAAGCTAATTCCCGTTATGGACTACAATCTCATGTACTAATTTGTATTGAAGTTATAGTCTATCATGGGGACCATGGGCAACAAAAGTAGCCACCCTCCAGAACGAAGGACAGTGTTGATATCAATTCAGAGAAGATTAGAGGATCTACAGCCGAGTGATGCACAATAAGATCCAGTATTGTTACATTTTTGAGACTTAACTCCTGAGTTTATTGTCACGTTAAGCTTGCCATACACACTTTGAATTTCTCTTGTTCAGCCCTGCAATCTACTTTAGATCTACTATGAACTATGTAGTGAAGAGGCCAGCCTGGTCCACAAATACATCTTTTGAGAGCATTGCTAACATGTTTCAGCTGCCATCTTTGCAATACAAAAGAAGAACTATTTATGTTACATGAAAACAGCAATTTGCCATATGGACACAACTAACCCAAAAAATATATATATCTATGAAAAAATAAAACAACTCAAACCCATTCGAAGCTCTTTTGTCAAATAAAAAAAAAAAACTAAAGAAGGCATGCAGGCACTATAGACAAGGGCTTCTTAATGTTTGGGTCGTAAAACTGAATGTGGGGGGTCGCAAAGAAAAACCCGAATCCCCGGCCACTTTTAAACTTTTAAATTGTCCAAAATGCTCCAGGACC